TAATATTTTGTCTCCCTATATTTCTTGCCAAGTGTATTGCTTAACAGTATATCTCGGTTTTAATAATAAACACCGCAACGTCATATTCTCCCCTGTGAATAATGTTTTTATCGGGGGCATTATGAACAGTTAGTTCAAACTCTAAATCAAAAACAATGAAAACGGCTTTTCTGATTTTACCTGGGGTATCACGGATGAGTTCACAGCAAATGAAATTTCGATTGTTAACTCGCACATATGTTTTTCGTTCACTTCGATCCTAGACCATACATCAATATGGTCCCACCTTCCCATCGAAACGGTTTACAACCGATTGAAGAGTGTCGATTCTCCTCTAATGCCTCCGAATATTCGCTCACTCAACCTTTGGCTCGTCGTGCATTGGTTCCATCAGAGTCCACACCGATACCTACTTGCTCAAGCGTCTCAGGCCTCTCAGACCCGATCGAATCGAGAAATGGCACTTCAACACAAAATTTGCTTAACGGGAACGGAACAGGTTCGGCAAACAGCACTCAGGGAAGTTATGTGAATGTTACGGCTTGCGCCCTTTCCACCAATCGAACCGGAACTGCTGTATCTAACTCATCTGCGGGCAGTCATACAGTTCAATATATCAATCTTGCTTCCGCATCCATGCGTTCGTGCAGCACGGATTCACCAAGTGGACACTGCGTTTCACTTACAATAACCACACCCGTTCAGTCTATTTGGTACGTTACTCTGACTTGTTGCTTTGAGTGACTTCGTTACTCAGGATTTTTACTTTTCATCAAGAGTTTCAACCTTTAACATGTTATCAGCGGTTTCATTTCAACTCAAAGATAACGGAGCAGTTCGATTTCAAGCTGTTTAGGACCTTCTATCGACTGCGAGATACTACGGTATAATGCAGTGTCACCATACAACAGATTTCTGAATGGGATCGCGCACAGCATGTAGGATATCGAACCATGATAAGCATCATTATGAGCTGTTATCAACAATCGATTTTACATTTCAGTAAATAAATGACAAGTTCGTCTAATTCTGTGTAACCGTCATATTGCACATCTGTGAAACGGATTTGAATAAACGAAAAAGGGTGAGTATAGTACCCGAATAATGCTATCCAATAATAGTAAGCCTCAATATTTCTTATCCTTTAAGAGTCGATCGTGATTGTTTAACAGTCTTGGGGGATTGTTTCAGTTCCCTTGACCAGATTTGTGACAAAAACGAGGAAAATGCGGTGACTGTAAAAATCAGAGGTGACAGGTGAATCCCATAGTCCTCCATTACATCTATTAATAGAGTGTCAGTTACAAGATGTCGTCAATGTGTTAGGTGACTCTGTAGTCGCTCCGCTCACTGCTGCGCACGGTCTATTGAAACCTTATATGGTCCACCACTCCAAGTTTCAGGATCATGGTTACCTTTACATAACATGAACATTAAAACACGAAATCACGTGCACCCTCGCTTGTTGTATGGTCTCGCAAGGTAGCCACGCAGTCACCACTCTCACCAACATTCGCCGACTAAACCATAACATTTATTCTGTTCTCCAGTTTCTCCATTCTTCTGTCGTCGTTTTCACCGAAACACAAATCTCTTCATCGTCAGATGCCACCCATCTTCAAGTAATCAGCTACACTTTCCACTCCTTTCTAACCAAAGCTGGTGTCTGCGCCTTTATCCACTAATCAGGCGCGGCCTCCAGAATCCCAAGCCTTGAATTTTCCTATCCTTAATTTCAGCTGACGTGGTTGAAGCTCCGACTTCCTTTCAATCATTACTTTTGTGTTTTATATCATTCCCCCAATAGTGGTGATCTCTTCAAACATTGAACTCTTGTTTGCAACCGACTCCAAATGCCATCTACTATGGCACGTTCATAATCATGATTGTTTGACATGCATCTGCTACTTCTCCCCTGGGGTCACGAGGCCGAATATTTCGCTTTGATCAACAACGTGAACCAACTAGTTGACCTCTCTACACGTCTCCCTGATCGAGCTGGCGATCATGCCCACACCCTCGATCTAATTCTCACCTCGGCTCCTTTCTTCTAAGATATTTGTTCTCTCCCTTTTCTTGACTCAGCAGATCACTGTATTGTTACTTACTGTATTAGATTTATCAGCACCGATCCGCAACCAACCTCGAGGCACACATTCTGGTGCTACAATTCAGCCAGCCGGGACAGTTTCCTTGATTTCGTAGCTGCTTATCCCTGGAACGACTGTGGTTTCTTTTTGGACGTTTCCAAATTTGTTTCCATTTTCACCGACGTTGTTCTTCAAGGTATGCATCTTTTTATTATGCGCTTTTCCGAACCCTGCGAATCTAATTCCCTGGAGTGGTTTAACCAAACGTGTGGTTGTGCTATACGCCCAAAACGCTCAGTCTTCCACTGTTAGCGTCCCTCGTTCACTCCCGACTCCCATCATCGCAAAGTAGAAGATGATGATGGACAACCATCCAGAGAAACAAAGAATGCTTCCTCCGCTTTTACAGTCAAAAAATTGGTTTCCTCCACCATCGGTAGCCGAAAATTTTGGTCCATTGCCAAAGCAATTTCCCGTAATTTCTACCCCTATCTGTAATTCCCTTGGTGATCTTGTATGTCAACCACACGAGAAACCTGACGTTTTTGCTCCCCAATTTACCACCAAATCCAGCTTTCCCAATTACTCGACTCCATCTGCTTCCTATTCCACTGGTCACCCTTTTCCTCTTAACAGCACTAGAAAATTCCGCCACACATTGCGGGCTCTAAACGCAAACAAAACACCTGGTCCGGACGGTATTCCGCCTATTGTCTTTAAAATGTGCTCATTCACATCTGTTTTTTCGCAAGTATTTGAAACCATCATCACCGACCAACCACGCGTGTTCCTCGAACGTGAAGGACTACTGAGCGACCGCCGGTATTGTTTCCGGCAGCGCCGTTCCACCGGTAACCTGCTGGCTCTAGTTTCACAACCCCGTTCGGCTGTACTCAAGGACCACGGAGAAATACTTTGTTTCACTTTCTATATCACAGCCTTCGACTGAGTTTGGCATGAAGGTCTAAAAGCGAAAGTGAACATTTTCGGGTTCCCATCGGCTCTCGTATCGTGAATATCAATTTTATTCAGTTGGCGAACCATCTCCGTCCGAGTTGATGAGGATCTGTTTCAGCCCTTTTCCTTGAATTCTTCTGTTACCCAAGATTCAGTACTTCCATCCACCACTTCCTGTTTATCAGTGACATCCTCCCTAAAACTATCAACTCAATCCATTCTTTTGCCGGTGACACCGCCCTCCGCTGCTGCTTCTCCGGCCTCACTACTCGCCATGCCAAACCAATTTCGATCGTGACCGTAGTGCAGTTGACGTTTCACTGGACCCCGATCTTGATTACGTCTCCTGGGGCAACTGGAATCGTGTTTCATTCAAGTTTTCTACCCCCCCCCCNGTCATTCACTTCCCCCCTTTCCACTTGTGACATGCGTAACACATGCCCCAACCAACATAATCTATGGAGGACGATCGCTTGCTCCAATGGGCAACCGCAGTTACCTAAAACTACTCGTTGCTCGTCCGGCTGCCCCACAAGATTCGTGCAATGCTTTGTACATAGTGGTGTTCAAACACCGACAGTCTATCTTTGTTCTGTTTTCTTGATGGTTAAGTTTCTGCGCCATATAGCAGAACTGGCTGAACTGCGACAGCATACTCTCGACCCGTCACAGACAGCCGGATGTCGCGAAGGCGCGACAGATGTCTCAAGTTAGCAAATGCTAACCGAGCCTTCTGTGTATAAGCTGACACTTCATCCGTGATGCGTCCAATGGGTGAGATGTAGCTCCATCCCTAAACACCGATGGGGACAATCGGAGGTCTTATACCTTTTGAGATAACTTAGTTCCTGGGAAACCTCCATTTCAGATGGAGACTGGTATTAACTGGGATTGTTTGCCCAGTCGAGTTGGGGGTGATAGGTCAGAATTCGATGGGGACAGTTGAACTGAGCCTCGATGTGTTCAACCCAACGATCAGGACGGCGTTGCTGATGGTGAATCAGTCTGCCATCGGATTCCTTATTTACCTCGCTTACGCCTATTTTCCTGAGGTCCATATTCCTAATTAGACGGAAAAAGATTGTGGCTATTACCAAATAGCCGCAGCTTTCTCCATCTCTTTACACTTTCCTACCCTCCACTTCTCGCGATCATTCCTCAGACTCCTAATGAGCTAGCGTTTAAGGGATTTGCGCGCATTCTGATGTGTAGCTTCGGGGAAGAGGGTCCTGCGGGCGTCCAGCAGGACAGCCGAGATCCATCGTCTGTGTTTTGAATCTGCGCCAGGGTCCGACGGTGTTTTTAATGATATTTGCATAGATTTCTTGATTTGCTTCCAACGTTCATTGAGTGCTTCAACTGGTGGTTGAACTGACAGACGATGGGAGAGTTTTGCTTCGAAGGCCGATTTGCAGTCATCGCGGACGCTATATCGTTGGTATGCGTTTTCGGTGGCTTTTCTACGGTTGTTTGCTAGGCGTATTGAGAATTGGGCTCTAAATAAGGCATGGTTTGTATCCACAGGTGCTGAGCAGTAGGATCAACAGCCTTTAATAGATCCACTCCAGCGGTAACTGATGGCGATGCGGTCGATTTAGATCCAGCGCTGTGAAGAGGTTGATGGCTTCCGTGTAAAGCGATGTAGTTTCTTGTGCGAGAAGTTCGTGCTTGATAGAAACAAGAGTTGAAGTAGTCGATCTCTGTTGTCCGTCCGGTTGGCTGGGATTGCATGTGGTCCACCAAGAAGCCTTTCTGTTTCGTCCAGGGATCCCACTTTGGCATTGCAGTCTCCGGCGACTATCACAACGTCCGGCAATCGAACACTGGAGTAATTAAGAAAGATCCTTGATTTCAGGTGTTTTGCAATCGGTCGGTGCATACACCGATTCGACGAATAAGCATCATCGCCTCGTTCTGTAGCTGTTGACCCGTGCTGAACCGTTGAGACGTACAGTGCACAGTCGGCTGCTGACTGGAATCCAGTCAAGAAGCGAGCGTTCAGCCTTGGCACTTAGCGCAATCTCAACACCAGCAACACCGCTAGCTTTGGATACCGAATCGCCTGACTCACGGAGGGTGAAGTGTGACTTGGATCATGAGAAAGGAAAAAGATAATTGAAATAGGGTCTTTTATGAGTGTTTCAGGGACACAGCTTCAAGGGTTCTAGCTAAGGTAGCTTGTTGACAAATCTGATAGAGTGTGCGGACAATGAGCGCGGCTAAGTGAAAAAGGATTTTTTGTGAGTGATATCCGATGCGTCTCGTAAACAGGAGGCATCTGGAATTATTTGGGATTGAAAAGAAGAACTAGACAGATGGTGAAGGTGTTTTTCCAAATGGGTGTCTAAGACTTTAGGGCCTGGCATACTTCGCGGCAGCCCACACCGACGAAGGAGTTTTTCTTTGGGAACCCTAACCGGAGCCTTCGACTCGAAAGTCTGATTCACAAGGTAGGGTGGGGCGGGCGTAGATCTAACCCGGGAACCTGGACGAAGCACCCGTGTGGGAGCTTCCAGAGATCTGTCACGCAAGACCTTCGGGTTTCCGTTAAGCGCTTTGTTCGCTGGTGCGTTGATTGTCGGTCCGTTTTTCGGGATCGGCCCTTAGTCATACACTCAATGATACAAGCGGAACGTAGTCGGGAATTCCCGTGTTATTTCTTTGTCCTCAGAGTATGCAGGAGTTGGTATTTCTCATCAGCTCATGTTGTTTCTGCTCCCATAATTGTGATATATATATATATATATATATAACAAGCGATGCACACACGATAACTTGCAATGCACCTAAAAATGGGCTTGGTCGAAGCTTTTTTATGGGAAATGTTAACAAGCTGTTGATTTTCTTGTCCCACAGGGTTTTCGACGCAAGTGAATCGAGTGACCGAAGAAATTTTCAGTTTTCCCTATTCAGATGGATACCTGTTACTGACTTTCACCGTCTTCACAACGGACCATTGAACCGAATTTCGGTCTATTGGTTTGAATCAAAGTATCAGTTGAGCATCGTTCGGTGTTCAACTGCAGTTACATGCATTCATTATCTCATTCAGAATATTAACAAATTCTGTCCACTAGCTGTATGAAGTCAGTGATCAACGGTCTGCTTTGTCCAACGCCTAATTGGCTGTTAGTTACAGATTAATCTGAACCGAAGTTAATCGACACGTGATAATTTTCAGTTGTTTAAACATGGTCAGTTTTCAACTGTTAGATTTGATGTGGCAGTGTTGATAGAACGTTGAATATTATAAAATCTGCCGTTCAATCGGGCTGCATTCATGGTTGAATTTCTAGGGTGTCCATGTAATAATTCGCTTTTGAATCACAAGAGCAAAACACGTTGATTTTTTCCTATTTACCTTACTAGTTTTCGGTTACATTGTTTTTGAAAACCCTCCGACTTCGGTCGGTTCCCCCACAATTGACCCTGAGTCTCATATGTGCGTTTTTGATTGTTTTCAATTCCTTTTCCACTGCTTCTAGTCAGTGTTATCGAACGGAACCGACTACTAACCATGTGGCCCTTTCTTCCACCAGTCATTCGCCACGCAAATGCAGCGGAGAACAATCCCCTTGTCATATCCGCTCAACCTGTTCTACTTCGGTTTGTTTGCACCAGTCCAACATGGCTCAGACGTTTGCAACGGATCAGTGTAATAAAGAGTGCGTTCCTGCGGTGCTACCTACGTCCAAACCCGGTGTTCTCTCGAACAACGTACCCCGTTTGCACTACGCTCATCTGACTCTATCTAATGATTCCACTTGCCGCATGTTGAGGCCTTCTTCCTCGGCAACTTCCAATCGTGAGTCTAGCTCAGATCTGCGCCCAAACATACACACCGTCCAGTCTCTGCCCTGTGCATTTGTCGGAACTACCGGTGCGACGGGTACTGTTATGAGTACATCCCATTCAGGTGACATCGCCACCACAACTTCTGTCAGTACGACTTGTTCCGGATTAAATTATGTGACCATTGATTTGGTTCAAACTAAAGCTCTTTCAGAACTGGAACGCGAGTTGCGCGGTGCCACCGAATCAGAGAGCGGTTCACATTCACTGCTGAACACCGGTTCCAGGCGTGCAACCATCTCTCGTGCCGGTACTCATTCCGCTACTCTTCCAGGCCCATCCACGACCGTTGATGTAAGTCTAAATAATTTTTCAGCGCATATTTCGACCCTTTGCGATAATAATATTACTTTCCGTTTTCTTTTTTCGTGACCTAAATTATTCCCAGATTGTTCTGTTTGCTAATCTGATATTTGTAAATGGCGACATCTTTCATCTTGTTCTACGCGACATACCACCTCTTGTTTCTCATTACCGGAGGGAATAAGGGAACTTTCCCCGTGGGTAAAACATTCAAAAAGTCGGTAATTCGATGACCTTTACAGAACTGAACTCTTTGATCATTTTTTTTACAATAGAACTGTTACATGCTCAGAATAGTTGAACATTTGACTGGATGTCTAACTATGAATACTAAACATAATTTTGTCTTAAAATATATTTATAATAGTTGAAAAGCAACTCAAACCTAAGGGCCGTCATCGTACAGTGAAGCGAACTTTACCGATCGATTTCATACTCGCAATTCATATAAAGTTGGTGGTAATGTCGAAGGTGGACAGGGATTAGACTTATTTGGAGGGATGAAGAAGAAAGTGAACCTGTATGATCAACATGCATCGTACTTAATGTAAGTGTGCATACATGCCGTCCCAAGCATTGTGGCCAGATAACAATCAGAATGCTGTTGTTGGTTCGCAGCCTTATCCCTAACCAATCAGATGCATAATCTTTCGGACTCCATTTTTGAAGGCGCGAGACACCGACTCTACCTAATAGCTCTGTGCATTTCCTCCTACCTCGTCTGCACGTCATCTGTTGATCTCTATATGGCTTCCTCCAATCCGGAGCGAATTGTGTACGATGCCGTAAACGATAGCTGGGGACACGCAATACGCATCCTAACCAGCGAAGCCTATTGACCTGAATTTGATGGCCTAGCAAACTTATCCCAGATAGACTGCCAAACATATGACAGCTTCCCTCCAGATGACTAACCCGTTCACTTCATCCCACGTGAGCCAAACTAAATGGACACCGACAATCGAAAACTTCTAGTTGATGGATCTCTTCTCTCAAATTCAAGATGTCACAGCCGTAAGGCATAACTGAACGAACGGTGGCCTAATATACATGATCTTTCAACTTCACCGAAACTTCGCATCTATTCCAAAGGTGTTTCAGTCCTGCGTACGCAGCTCGAGCCTCGAAAATGTGGGCATTTATCTCGTTTGCTGCGCGTTCTTCATTGGTCACACAACTACTTAAGTAAGATAAGCAATCCACTTTAACTAATTCCCGGTCATGAAGATTGAATGCGGGACTAGGCAACACCCAGTCTTGCAGTATCACTTTGCACTCTTAAGGTGAAAGGTGCATACCGAATGTGGTAACAGCACTTGTTAATCTATCAAGCCAAGTCAGGTCAAGGAATGGCTTAATACACCTCGAGAGGTGAATGTTCAGCAACCACATAACCTTTGTGTGTCAACAAAAATGAAAAAAAAAACAGTACAGCAATTAAAGGACGTGAAAAAGGAAAGCAACATCAGAAACCAAGGGCATACCCTGGTGTTTATGATTGATTTAGTTTAGCGTTTGGCGCAGATTTCCTCCAACGAGTTTATTAGAAATCTGGCGAGATACGGGACAATAGACCACCTGTAATCTTCAGTGCGTGCCTTTATAGGTTTGTGAATGGAACGGATGGATGAGTGAGAAAGGTACTGACTAAGAGCCGAATAAAGAGGATGGGAAATATCAGATAAAATCTTATTGGAGAATGTTTCACAGGACCTAAGGTGATGTGTCACCACATACTGTACCGGGTCCTT